CTTCCCATAAAAGGATCCACACAGGGGAGAAGCCATATAAATGCATGGAGTGTGGAAAGAGTTTCTGCGAAAGTGGGTCTCTTACTGCTCATAAAAGGATCCACACAGGGGAGAAGCCACATAAATGCATGGAGTGTGGAAAGAGCTTTGGTGAAAATGCATCCCTTACGAAACATAAAAGGATCCACACAGGGGAGAAGCCATATAAATGCAGAGAGTGTGGAAAGACCTTTACTCATAGCAGTCAACTTACTTCCCATAACTGGATCCATACAGGGGAGAAGCCATATAAATGTGTGGAGTGTGGAAAGGGCTTTACTAATAGCAGTCATCTTACTTCCCATAAAAGGATCCACACAGGGGAGAAGCCATATAAATGCAGAGAGTGTGGAAAGACCTTTACTCATAGCAGTCAACTTACTTCCCATAACTGGATCCATACAGGGGAGAAGCCATATAAATGTGTGGAGTGTGGAAAGGGCTTTACTAATAGCAGTCATCTTAATTCCCATAAAAGGATCCACACAGGGGAGAAGCCATATAAGTGCATCGAGTGTGGAAAGAGCTTTAGTGGAAATGCATCCCTTACGAGACATAAAATGATTCACACAGGGGAGAAGCCATATAAATGTGTGGAGTGTGGAAAGAGCTTCAGTCATAGTGGTTCCCTTACTTCCCATAAAAGGATCCACATAGAAGAGAAACCATATAAATGTGTGGAGTGTGGAAAGAGCTTCAGGAGGAGCAATGACCTAATTTGCCATAAACAGATCCATTTGGGTGAGAATCCATGTAAATTGTAGATTTAGTTGTTTAAATCTATGTATTTCCTATTTGCATATACTGAATTAGGAAAGGAAGGTTTTTTTTAATCTGACCCTCACAAATGGCAGCCCCAGAGAGATGAATTTACCAATGAAAAACAATGGGCATGTGCCGTTTTAATTATGAACAGCGGATTTTCAAAAGTACTGTAATTTTAGGTGGCCAACACTACTGCACATCAATAAGAAAAAATATTTTTTTCTTAAGTTTACGTTTATTCCAGTTTCCAGTTGTTCATCTTTCTAGTAGGGAACAGGCAGACATGTAGCAGATGCTGCTTCCTGAGGCAGTAGAAGGAGCTGCATCTCCCTGGTGCATCTCTTCCAGACAAAGATTTATTAGCATTTCTTCTGCTACAGCAGACTTGCAGATAGAAATGTAGTTGATTCACAGTCACTTTGCATAGTTTAAACTTTCCTTCTTTTGCCTAGTCTTCTTACAATTGTTTTCCCCTCCCTTTCTCATTCCTTAATACACTCACCATTCATCAGAGGACCCTACACTTCTGTCCTCCCAAAAAGATGGAAATGGTGCAGCAGAGAGATTCTGATGTCTGAAGCAATATTATAATCCAAAGGGAACTCAAGTTCCATCAAAGTATACAGAGAGAGATGGTGTGTGATATTGAATTGTCCCATTGAATGATTGTGATATTGAATTAAAAGTAACAACTAAGAAGATTTGTACTTTGAATCTCAATCTCTCTCTCTCTCTCTCTCTCTCTTTCTTTCTTCGTCCCAAGTTAGGGATGCTAAGGAAAATGAGAATGAAAACGACTCTAGTGTGCTGATATTGCAGACGATCAAGCAAGAAGGGAGATCTTTGGAAATCAATGGGGACCAAAATAAAATAATATGAAATTAAGAAAAATTACTTCAGAAAACTACTTCAGTTCCTCTTGACCAAACAGACAGAAATGAGAAGGGGAACTGCCCCTGGGATATGAAGATACAAAAAAAAATAATCAGACTCATATCAATGGTGTAGAAATGAGACCTGAGTCAACCAGTATGAGTGCAGAACCATGGAACCTTTTTCATAAAATAATATGAAATTAAGAAAGAGTACTTCAGAAAACTACTTCAGATCCTCCTGACGAAACACAGAAATGAGAAGGGGAACTGCCTCTGGGATGTAAGGTACAAAAAAAAAAAAAAAATCAGACTTGCATCCAAGGTGTAGAGCTAATACCTGTGTCAACCAGTATGAATGCAGAAGCAGGGAACCTGTTTTGGTCAAAGGCCTCTCATCATGTGAGAGAATAGTCACATACATATCAATGTAGAATGTGTGGAAAGAGCTTCAGGATGAAGAATTCCTCTCACAAAAGGAGCCAGAATGATGAGAAGCCCCTGAAATGCATGTACAAAAGACTTTTTTCAAGCATTAGGGCCACATCTTGCCTTTCTGTGGTGCGAGGAGGGCTAAGAAAGAGTCTAAATTTGATTGAAATAAAATTAATTAAATATCAATGGTGTGGTTACATTCCAGGCGTATATTAAATTCTCTTTCTCTTTATTTGCGTTAAATATTACACATCAAACATTTTGGAAGGATTTAGGTGGGGGACATACTTCAGGGTTTCAGAGGGTCATACTGGTTTGAAGCTCTTTATTCAAATACTGCTCATTGAGGGTTCTGGGTCACACTGGAGAATAAAGAAATGGGCTGAAAAGAACAGAGAAGTTAACTCCATTCTTTTAAAATTGCTTTTTAAACACTATTTTCCCTCAATTTAAATTCTTTGTTTGGCTCACTGTAGCTAAATCTCTTTTTTTCTTGCATTGTCAGCTCCAAAAGCAGAGGAATCTCTTCAGACCAGTGGAGTCTTCAGCTCTTTTGGCTACAACAAAATTTGTACCTCCTTTTTCACTGTTTATTCATGGTCTAAAGATATTCCCGTGGTCTTAAATTCTCCAAAGGCCTTAAGCTTCCTTCTCATATTTCCTGAGGCGAATTCCTTACTCAACTCCTAAGTAAAATAGATTTTTTTTCTTTTTTGCCTCATGGTATTTTAGCCTTATATTCCTTTTTCACTATTTGTTTTCATTCATTTTGTAATTCCACATTTTCTCCAGTCAAATTTTCGTTGTTCAGTCGTTAAGTCGTGTCCGACTCTTCGTGACCCCATGAACCATATTGCGCCAG